GCTCAGCAGTGTATTTCAGTCAATCTGCCTATTCTGTTCCACACTCTGTCTCTGGTGAATCCTCACACCCCACATACACACATACACACCTCTGGCCTGTACCCTAGTTCCTGTATGCATAAATAAATAAACCTTTAAAAAAAAGTTTTATTTTCTAAACTTTCAAATACTATAATTATTCTAGTTTGTTGAGATGCATAGAAAAATCCATCTCAGTTCTAACCTCTAAGCATTTGAAGACACTGCAAAAATCTAAGGAAATAAATTAGTTGTTAAAGAAAATAATGGACTGTTTAAAATTGTAATGATTTTAGGAGGCTTTTATAAAAGTAATAAGGTTTTTTTTTTCTTGACATGCTGACAAATATAAAAATCTAAATGTAATCTAAAAAATGTTTTTAGTTAATGCTTTTTTTTTTTCATTATCATCACAAGACTACGTCAATCCAAACACCTATTTCTTCTACCCTACCTCTTCTTACCACCTTTAATCTATTACAAACCCTGGAACCAGAGTAAACCTTTTCCAAATTAAATGAAAATCAGATTTGATTATCCCTCTCTTTAAACCTTCCAAGAGCATCTGGTTTCTATGAGTAAAAACCAGTCTTTACAGGACCTCCTGCACTGACCTCACTGGCTAATACTCATTCCCATGGACATGTGCCTCAGGGGTGGCCTTCACACATGCCAGGCAGGTCAGACCCAGGCACTTTGCACTGGCTGTTCACACTTTTAAAACTTTTGCTTAGGTTTCTGCCAAGCTAGTTCCCTTTTCTCCTTTATGTTTTACTGAAATACCCCTTCACATTGAAGTCCATCCAGATACCCTCTTTTAAAACACCTGCACATTTAGGATTTGACCCTGATCTACTCTCCAGTTTTCCATAATGCTCACAGCCTAGCATACTATGTACTTCACTTGTTATGAAAGCATCTTTGTCTCATTGCTCATCCATACAGCACAAGACATAGACCAGCACCTGGCACATGGTACATTCAGAGCTGCTATTTGTTGATTTACAGTGATCCCAACCTACTTTTTTAACTTTACTGCCTTGTACTTCATTATACTACTTTGCTTTAAAGAATCCCTAATCCCATCAGTCAGACTGGAGTATTTGCCATCCCAGAAACCTGTTGAGCAAAATCCACAACTTCCCATCTGCTGGGAGGAGAAAACCACTTATATCGCCCTGAAAGTTCTCTGAGAACCCCCAGTAGGCTTACTGTGTCCTTCCTGCTACCCTTGAAACACCCAGTGCTTGGGAGTTTTTAAACTTGCTGTTCCTCCTGCTTGGAGTGCTTATTACCTTGGAATTCTCTCCCTCTACCACCTTACTTTCCTCTTCAACAACAATCTAGTAACACACACACACATATAAAAATATATATATTTTTACTTATTTGTACAGTGGCATAAGAACAAATACCTTATCTGATTTATTTGGTTATAGCCCCAGTATCCAGAATAGTACCTGGATAATTAGGAAGTACATGATAATTAGAGAATTCAGCAAATGTACATATTTTACAAAAGAATTGACAGAGCAATGCAAATTCTGTTAAACTCTCCAAAATATATCAGAGAAGCTCTTCCAATCTACATAGTATTTTCTATTCCCTTAAATTTGAATTGTTTCCAGGAACTGGACTCTGTTCATCAGAAACAGCCATGCTCTGAAGTTACTCTAAAAGTAGTTTTAAAGTAGTCTTTTATCATCTACAATTCTACTGCAATTGCTTTGAAATGACAATCAATATATAAACAAATGTTTCTCAAGCATTGTGGTTTAAAAACTTTTCCCTTGAAGAAACATGGACTGCCTCTTTCGGGGAGAATCTAATTCCTCACAGAAACTAAAACTGCCCACACTTTGCTTAAAATAGGACAAATGTCATGGAAACTTAAGACACCACAGAGATATAGCAAATATAATCCAGTGGTACAGAATAAAACTTCATTTTTTAATGAAAATAACAAGGCTAATGTAACTTTTAGTTATGCTTCAAGTTATTTTAACAAGATTATTTTTAATTTTTCCACCGCCCTGAACAGCATGATTACAATGTTACTCAATGAAGCATCAGAGGGAGGGCCTCACTGGCTACAAAATCTCTCATGGTTACAAAATCTGATCTTTTTCTTTTCCCCACTAGCTGCAATTAGGAAAAATCTGAAACATGTTAAAAACTTCTGTCCAAATGAAGCCAAATAGTTCTCAGTCTGTTACAGGTCTCCTTCTACAGCATTCATTCTATAATCCTACTTAGCACATAGGTGATTCATTTTGTTACCTCTGTCTTAATGCAGGTGTCAAGGTCAAGTCCCTTTTTTGTGTGTATAAACTATTAAGTCATGTCAGCACATGGAAAATGTTCAAATATGGTACCAAATATGGTACCAAGTATGGCAGAAGGTAGATAAGAGAAAAATTAGGATACAGTGCCTATCATGTAAAGTTTTACAAAAACATTATATTTTAGGCTTTCTAGCAGTGAAAACCTAAATAATTGCTTACAATATAATTTTAAAGAGAGTATGTCTTTCTAAAACTAGGTAACTGTCTGCATAATAGTTCTGATTGAAGATTACTAATCATTAATGAATTTATGAAACTCAAACTACTTCACAATAATTAAGGGGGGGGGGTAGGAGAAGAAAGGGATCCAGCTTTTTCTTTTAGTTCTTTCCTTCAAGCTAGAATAAAAATTCAGTTTTCAAACTGATGTTCCAAACTACAGGATAATTAAATGCCTGACTTTCAAACAACTCCTGAAGTTGAGTTGGAATAATATAAATACAATAGCTGATGCTAATTTAAGAACAGCTTATGTGAAATAACTGCATTTCTAGCCTGGGTTAATTCAAAATATTTTTCTGGGTTAATTCATTAATACGAAATTTAAGATTTTTCTTTTTACTTTAGTTACAATAACCAAGATAGGGAAACAACCTAAGTGCCAAAAACAGATGAGCGGATCAAGAAATGCCGTACATATACACAATGGAGTATTACCCAGTAATCAAAAAATAAATAAACTCATGCCATTTGCAGCAACAAAGAGTTGGGAGAGATAACACTGTAAAATAAATCAGAGGAGAAAATAAATACTGGGTGGTATCACTAATACATGGACTATAGAGAAACCAAACTTAGAACCAGATAAAGGAAACCTTAAAAGCTAATCCTTGAAAACTGACTGTAGACCTGAAGCATCCAAAAGCAGGAGGAGGTGGGGAGGAATAGGGAGAAGGAAGGAAGCACAATGGACTCTGGTGGTGGACTATAGGTGATGTGGTGGAGCTATCTGATGGGGAGAATCCTAATGTTATCGCAACTAAAATAATGCATTATTTTTAAAAATTCTTTTTAATCTTAGGCTTAAATCCACAGGATTCTACAGTACCATAAGCTGGTTGGGTGCCATTCTCTCAAGTTTTTTTTTAATTAAATCACTGTTATATAAATCAATGAGCAGTCAAAAATTTCAAAGGCAGAAATCTAGAAGCACCAAATTTCACGTCATAATTTATTTTTCCACCCCTCCCCCCCAAAATCAACACTTAGGTATTGATAGGACACTATTACTATTACAACACAAAGGAAAAATCTTAAGACAAATAACACTGTAGTAGCATTTATCCACATACCAATAAAAGTTCTTTGGTGGAACATTGCTTAAATTCACTTTTAAGATGAATTTAACTGAGTAAACAAGTATGTGCTGCTATATTTTAGTATACATTTTAGAAGGATGATCTCATGATCTTTAACCTATAGAACTTCGAACGATACTAAACTGCAGGTACAAATAAATGATCAGAGCATACTTTACAAACACGTTCTGTTTCCAACTTTGGTTGGAAACCAAAGTGCCAACTTTGGTGAGAAATGCCAACAATACTAAAAATAAATAAGTTTCCTTGTAAGCGCCTAAAATTCATCAGAAGTATTGAAACGAAGAAAAAAACTCAGCTTTAAGTACAATCTTAATGCTAGTTCAATACAAATGAACACACTTATTAAAGCTGGCAGTGATATTACATAAATAATTCCATCAGAAGGCAACCTTGCAAAGTTGTTGTGAAGCTGTTCCAAACTAAACCACATTGAAAAGGAGACACCCTGTATGAAGTAAGCATGTTATGAGAAATGTGTTTCATATTGACCCCGACGTTTAATTTTAACGTTACATCTCATTAAAATTGTTCTCTGCAAGGGATATCCACAGAAACTAGTGGGGACACAAAAACCAGGGACCTAACTACATAACCTTGCGTTACTAACTGGGTATGTTACGCAAGGAAAATGTTTAACAGAATTGCTTGGTTTGTAGTAATTACTTAATAACAAGTATTCATTAGCTATCTATGAAAACACAGTTTCAAACACTATACAACCAATCACAAATTTCTTTTTGGGCTCGACTTCTACGGACAGTGCAAAGAATAAAACAACTGCCAGTCTTGAAAATCAAAAGATACGACTGCTTTTTAAAACTACTAAGAGTGTCAGAAACACAATTTTACAACATAATTAAAAGGCTGGTAAGCAGAGTAGCGTTGTCTTTAGCACCAAAGTCAGCTAAATCACGGACAGTTAAAGGTCAAAGGCGTCCAAGCCGGCAGCGATTTGCTCCACTTATGCGATCCCAGCCTCGCAAAGACAGGCGCGGCTGAAGTGCTAGCGCGGACGCACCAGGTTAGACATACCCTCGGGGATTTCCTCCAGGAACAAAGCGACCTCGAATCTGAACATTTCTCCCCACCCCCAATGGCGCCCCCGTCCCCAGCCCTGGGAGCTCTGCCCGCGGCCCGAAGCCCTCCGCCACCCAGACCTCCGCGTGCCGGCGGGGCAAAGGCGAACCCGCGTGCGCACGCCTCCCGCGAAGCCGCCTCTCCATTCCCGGGCCCCCGCGGTGCTGGGCCCGGGGAGATGCGGCCCCGCGGCCAGCGCCCCCACCCCAGCCCCCGCGTCCGCGGCCTGGCAGGATACTGAACACAGTCCGCTCCCAGGGCTCCAGCATGTAGAGCGCCGTGACCAGCAGGTACTGGTAGTAGAACCAGGACATTTGCTTCCAGGCCCGCGCCAGCGCCATCCCCGCCACGCGACTCCCGTGCAGCAGCCGAACGTCAGCCTGTCGGGTCGGCCTCGGGTTCGCTTCCTAAAGCCCCCGGCCTCGGGGCCCGCCCGCCCGCCACCCTGCGCCCATTGGCCGGCCCGGCCCCGCGCGTCACCCACGGGCACGCCCAGCACCCCGCGCGCGCGCCCGGACGGCCGGACGCGAGCCCCGCCCGGACGGCGCTCATTGGCCGAGGCGCCGCCTCGCGTCGCTCCCGTCCCCCACCCGGTCCCCCCGGCCGGGCCGCGCCCACGCTAACCAAAGAACGGTACCCGCGAGAGCGCCCAGGCGCGCCGCGCCCAGCCCCACCCGGCCGTTGGGGGCGGGGCGTTGGCGCCGGATGGGGGCGGGTTGCTGGAGAAGGCGGAGGCCTCCCGCGGACAGGCGACCCATCCCCCCCAATTTCGGGCGCTGGAACACTTGTCGAGGAAATATTTATGAAATACCTGTAATGCCTCGGGCATCCAACTGGGCAGGGGTACCACGGGAGCCACCAGGAACGCATTACGTTCCTTACCTCGTGCACCTACTGTCCAGCATGGGAGACAGGCATTAATCCCAGGAAAGCAAGTAAAGCGGCCATGGGGGCGGGGGTTGAGGGGGGTGGAGAGCTGAGGGGGGCGGGGATAAGTGCTAGGAGGAGGGAAGATGTCTCTGAAGTTTGTACACATTGCCGCCTCCTCTCTCCCACCCTCAAGCACACACCAAAACACCCACATAAACCAGTATGTCCCATGCACTGTGTAATCTAAAGACAAAGGAGAGATTACCATAAATATGTCAATGACCCGTGTCTTTTAATAGCTGTAGGTACTCTGCGGGTCAAGGCTGGCAGAAGGACGCTGATGTGGTGGGTTCTGCAGATGACAGGTTGCTTGAGATTTACCTGCAGGCTGATGATGAGCCCTGGAGAAGTATCCAGATTCTCCCACTAGTGGGCCAGCAACATTGTACTCCCCTTCAGGAATACAATGTATGGTGTGTGGTTTTAATGTTAAAAAGTTTCTACGTTAAATAGCCTACTGCTTACATTTTAAAACTTTCATAGTTGATAACTTTTTATCCATTTTGAAATACCAAGTGCTGTTCATGAGCTAACCATTGGGGACAGAAAACCGGAGTGAGCTCTGCCTTCATAAAGTACTCAATGTACTAGGAAAGAGGGGCAAGCTAACCCATTACACTGCCATATGGTAAAGGGTATTGATGGAGGCTAAGAATAGAAAAAATTGGAAAGGAGAAACAAGGTCAAGAACCTAACTCACAGGGCCTCCAGGGTGGTGCAAGGGGTTAAGCATGGCATTATGAAGCAATCCATTCCATCCCCTGCTGGCCAAGGAGAAACCCACATGGTGAGGCAAACCTCTCCTGTCCCGCCCACTGCTCCCCTCAGCAGTGTATTTCAGTCAGTCTGCCTGTTCTGTTCCCCACTCTGTCTCTGGTGGATCCTCTCACCCACCGCATCTCTGGCCTGTACCCCAGCTCTTGTATGCATAAATAAATAAATATTTAAAAAAAAAAAGAGGGCCTCCCCTGGTGACGCAGCAGTTGAGCACTGGGCTACGAGGCTGCCCGCAGCCTCTGCAGCGCTGGTTCGTTCCCTGGCAGCCGGAGAGGGTCCCACCAAAAAAAAGAACCTAACTCACACAAGGAGGAACGGTTAGAAGGGAATAGCCGTAAGCCATTAACCCACTTACAGAAATCAAGACCCTTAGGCATCAACACCCAGAGAAGGAGGCACAACACCCAAAAACTATCAGACTACAAACCATCCACCCACAAAGATGAGCCACTCCCTACCAAGAGGATAAAGCCTAATGCTGCCCCCACCAAAGGGCAGCTCTTCCTGCCCGCTTGTGTCTATGCAAGTGTCTGACTATCCTATCCCTTTTCTAATAAACCTGCCCCTTAAATATAACTACCATCTCTGCCTCATGGAGAAACTTACCCCATGCCGCAGAAATGAGAGCTCTGGTGAAACCTTTCCCAGAGTGAACCCAAGGACCCCACACTCTACAAAACTACATCAAGTATTTTTATGTTATATGTTATGTTCTATGTTTTATGATAGCCCAGAGAAAATCATAGAAGGCTTCTAAGAAACTGTGCTTGAGGGGCCTCCCTGGTGGACCAAGGGGTTAAGTCTCAGCACTATAAAACTATAAGCAGCCACCGCAGCACGAGTTCAATCCCAGGCCCAGGAGCTAACCCTCATGGCACAGCAGACCTCTACTGTCTTATCCACTGCTCCCCTCAACAGTGTATTTCAGTAGATCTGTTAGGGGGAAAGGATGTCCTGAGCTAATCCCATACAGGCTTTGTGGACCCCACCCCCACTCCAGACTAAGGTCATCAAGACACTGGGAAAGACAAATCCCATCACCACCAAAGGGAAGGTGGCTGGGACCTGAGGGTGGAGTTAAGCAGCCAGGTTGGGTATAAAAACCAAACACGTGGCCCTTGGGGTCTCTCGCTCTATTGCTCGCCTCCTGGCTTCACCGCTCCTGGCTCGCCGCCAGCTCTCAGAGTGCCATTTGGGATTCCTGATCGGCGGATCGGGTAGGACGCATTTAAAACTTTGTCTCCCACTTTTCTCCAAGTTGTACATTTCCTCATTTCCCCTTCCCTTGTAAATAAACCTTTTATTAACCTTTTGTGTGTGCCTGCAGTAGAGTATTGATAAGTCCTTTTAAGCGCGTGGGTGAGGACCCAGTCAGGCACCCTGTTTTGTATCGGGGCTGCCCTATAACATATCCACCTGTTCTGCACCCCACTCTGTCTCTGATGACTCCACTCACACATACCCCACACCTCTGGCCTGCACACCAGTTCTTGTATGCATAAATAAATCAATCTTTAAAAGAAAAGAGATAAATTCACTTTGGACAGGCTGAGTCTGAAGTATCTGAGTGACATTTAAGGGGCAGTTGAGCATATGGATCTTAAACTCAGAAGAAAAGCTTAAGCAGAAGCCAGAGGCATTAAATTTTCAATAAGTTTCTGGTAATTGAAGCCATAAATGTGGATGAGGTCACCCAGGCAAAGCTCACAGAGTAGGAAGACCAGAATATACACAGGAACTCTGGCATTTAGGGGCAAAGAGTCCACAGGGAATCACTAAAGGGCACTCAGAAGGAGCCAATTGCAATTTAATAGCAAAGAGAGACTTATGGGAGAGAGCAAGTGAGGCAGGGAAGCTAGCAATACATGTGACCCAGGAAGGACAAACAATGAGGATGGGAAGTGTTGATCTGTTTTGTCCACATGCGGCTCAACTGATGACTCACCACTTATTTGTGGATTGATAAGGGAAAAAAACAGATTAAAGAGGGAATGGGAAGTAAGAAGAGAGTCAATTCAGGCTTATCTTCACAGGAAGACTGGCTAAAAGAGAGGATGGTACAAGGATTTGTTTGGTTTGGTTTTCAGATGGGGAAGGTGTGAGAAGGCTTATAGGCTAAACATAAGGATATGAGTTGGCACCAGAGCCAAAGCCTAACATGGCAGCTAGCACATCTTTTCCTAGAAGGGAAGGATGGAAATATGGGAGTCAGATGGACATAAGCACAGAAGAGTAAGTTAAGAAACTCGCTACTTTACCACCTTGTTTTGGTGAAAAAGTAAGACCTGTTGAGAGTGAGCAAGATGTTGAGTGGAGGAAATGGAAAAGAAAAGGGAGGGGCAATGGGAGAAGCTCCCTGAAACTGTTTAGGGATTGTCAGGTAGAAAACTGTGATTTTACCAGCAGTCCCCAAGGAATCATATATAGTGAAGATGATAAAATGGGCGGCTCCAGGGTGAAGTCTTGCTGGCTAAGTATAGGGGAAAACTAGGAAGCAAGAGGTTGGTGGAGAGAGAATTGAAAGAATGGCTGTGAAAATTGGATCAGAGAAAAGAAGTAAATGCAGAAAAGAGACAATGGAGTAACTGAAAACTGTGAGTTTGGAAACTGGAGTAGATGAGTGGGAGAATTTCTATCCTAGAGGAGGATAACCAGGGCTATGCTTCTGAAGTTTAAGATTATAGACAGGCACAGGTTGTGACCATGGTGAACCATGGCGAGGTTGTGTCTAGGATGATGGTAGAACCAAGGATTGAAAGGAAAAGTCTGCAGACCAGATGTCAAAGTCTTCAATGAGCATGGAGAAAAGCTTGGGAGATAAGTGGAAAGGATAGTGCTTTCGGTTGAGACTGTAATGAGGAGCAAGGTCAACCAATTCCAGCTGCCTCCCACCACCAGTTCCACTGTGAGAGGAGACAGGTAATGCCACAGAGGAAGAGAGAGGAGATAGAGTGTTCAAGAAGCTAATTGCAGAGATTTTGTCTACACAGGGAAAGAATGGCATAAGATAGGGTTGGCAGCAGGGGCTCAGTGCAAGGTTGTATCTAGAACACCAGAGCACAGGGGAAAGTGAGACATTGGTACTGCCAATGTTAATATTCAGAACCCTATTTAAATGAGGTTGGGATGCCAGGGAATTCTGAGTACATATAGATCAGCACACTACACAAGCCATAAAGCCTTGCATTTCCCACTGTTGACTTTTTCTGTGGAACGAAAGGGTTTGTCCATTCCCTTGTCTTGTAGGTGAGGGATCCAAGGAGAGAAGATAGAAGTGCACTTGGCTATTATTACCAGGAATGCATTCTGTCTGCCCATTTCTCCTACAGTTTTGCTTTCAAATAAAACCCTAGTATCTATGGCTTTGCTAGTTGATTGCCTTTTCAGGTCGACAGTATCTTAAAGACAGAGTGCTTGGACCAGACTGGCTTACAAGAGCATCAGTATAGTCACCAGCAGACCACCAGTAGTGTCCAGGAGGAAAGAGCAACCCCTGATTGCAGTCCAGTCAGCAAGTCAGGATGTTTGCTCTTTCTCAGACTGTCTTTCTAGTACCTGTTAAAAAGAACTAATTTTGTGCCTCAACAAAGTTCACCCCTCGGGCATACAGGTGATGGAAGCAACCATCCATGCAGACTACCTGACCTCAGGCCCATGGCCAGAGAGGGGGTGGAGGAAGACAGTCAATCAGGGCTTCCAGCTTCTGAAAAGTAAGCGTCCTGAGCAAAAGCTAATGGCACATTTAGGTCTGAGTTGAGTGTTAGAAAACAAAGTTCAGTGCAGCATTTTTAAAAGAAATGCACACATACATGTACAACCACATAGCTGCATATATAAATTAGTGCCTGGCTCACTATACTAAAAACAATTCAACCAGAATTTACTAAAGATCCAGTTACTATGTATTTTTAGATTTGTATGAAACTTCATAGTTCTTAATTGAGTATAACAAATGAACACTTGTATTGGAAATTTTTGCATTGCCTCTCAGACTCAAGAGTTATCTGTGAAGGGCCTCCCTGGTGGCGCAGGCGGTTGAGTGCTGGGCTGTGAAGCTGCCCACAGCCTCTGCAGTGCCGGTTTGATTCCTGGCTGTCGGCGAGGGTCCCACATGGCATGCAGACCTCTCCTGTCGTGCCCGCTGCTCCCTTCAGCAGTGTATTTCATCAGTCTAGTCTGTTCTGTTCCCCGCTCTGGCTCTGGTGAATTCTCTCATCCTCCTGCGCTTCTGACTGTACCCAGTGCTTGTATAAATAAATAAATAAATAAATAAATAAATCCTTTAAAAAAAAAAAAGTCTTCAAAAAAAAAAGTCAGGGGCCTCCCCGGTGGCGCAGCGGTTGAGCGCTGGGTTGCGAAGCTGCCTGCGGCCTCTGCGACGCCGGTTCGATCCCCGGCTGCTCCCAGCCCACCAGAGGAGGGTCCCACATGGCGCGCAGACCTCTCCTGCCGCCCGCTGCTCCCCTCATCAGTGTGCTTTGTTCCTCTGCCTGTTCTGTTCCCCGCTGTGGCTCTGGTGAATTCTCTCACCCTCCTGCGCTTCTGACTGTACCCAGTGCTTGTATAAATAAATAAATCTTTAAAAAAAAAAAAAAAAAAAAAGTCATCTGTGAAGTAGCCTCCATTTAGACTTTGACTGTCACCCTTTGTCATAGCTCCCGAAGAATCTCCTCTCCCTTCTTTCTTTCCTGCACCCTCCAAATATTCTCAACCAATCTTTCTTACCCTGCTTTTCCCTTCAAATCTTTTGGAATAAGAGTATAAAACATTATCAAGTTATCTTAACACCCACCAAAGCACCTACAGTTGTGATGATACCCACAGGCACTATTTCCTCTTTTTTTTTTTTTTTTTTTAATTTTTTTTTTTATAGAGGCATGTTTATTTATTTATTTGTTTGTTTGTTTGTTTTGTTCATACATGCACTGGGTACAGTCAGAAGCGCGGGAGGGTGAGAGAATTCACCAGAGCCAGAGCAGGGAGCAGAGCAGGCAGAAGGACCGACGTACACTGCTGAGGGGAGCAGCGGGCGGCAGGAGAGGTCTGCGCGCCATGTGGGACCCTCCTCTGGTGGCCGGGGAGCAGCCGGGGATCGAACCAGCGTCGCAGAGGCTGCGGGCAGCTTCGCAACCCAGCGCTCAACCGCTGCGCCACCGGGGAGGCCCACTATTTCCTCTTTTCCAGTACCTTTACACCTAGTCTCAACCACCCCTTCCAAATATACAGTCTTAGTGCTGCCTTTACCCTTTGCTAACAAGTAATTTACTCAAAATCAACAGATTTAATAGAATTTAATTCCTTCTTTTACTCAACCTTCTGCATGCATCATTTAATACTGCTGAACATTTCCAACTAAAATTTTTCCATAGTCTTGGTTTCTACCACACTGCTCCATCCAACCTTTTCATTGAGTGCTCACTACCCCTTTGACAACCCCTAGTTTCTTCCCCATCCCCTAAAGACTGGCTGACCTCTGCCTCCCCTCTGCAACCTCAGTGGTCTCATCCCTCCCTTCAGGACTCAGATGTCACTTTGGGTCTTTATTATACCTGTAGGTAGACTATATCTAAATATGATTAAAATAATAATAAAAGTTATCATTAACATATTATAATTGTCTAGCCCTTCCCTGGTCTCACATTTCAAAGGGTTCTCATAGCCATTAACTCATTTCCTCAGAAAAAAACAAGTGCATCCCTATTTAATAATTATGGACACTGGAGTCCAGAGACATATTCAAGTCCAAACTAATCTTGAACCACAAAATCACTTTTCTTTCCACTTGCCTCACCTCTGTTAATGACAATACCAGTTTTAATTCCCTTGACACCTCCCTACTCCTTAATCTGTACCTAGTGATAGCAAGTCATTTTTCTAAGTATCTCCTTTTGCCCTGTTAGGATCTGATCTGCCATGCCCACACACACATAGCTTCACTCTTATCAAGATAATGAACTGGTGATTGTCTCGCAAATTGCCTTACCTGCTACCACTGGCTATTTCTGCTGATTAATCATGTTGAGTTCCAAGAAAACTTCCATTCTAAAAATACTTTCAGCCTATGAGAAAATAACAATGGGTTTCAAGAAACTATACCATGTTGTTTGTCTCCTGAAAGTTTTCATTTGAATCATCTTCAGCTAAAAATGATCCAATAGTTCATCAATCTATTCATTTACCACCCACTACTGTGTGCCCACAACAGGCCAGTGCTGAGCACAGAAAAGACCAGTGTGACATAACCTCTGCCCTTAGAGTGTACACTTTAATAGGAAACATGTGCATATGTCCCATGAAAATAAAGATATAATTAAGTTTAAAACTGTAGTGAGTGCCTCCCTTTGTTGGGGGCTGTGGGAGTGGTAGGGTAGGTCATTCAGAACTACCGTTTAAGGAGCCCAGCAAGGCAGCACACAGAATGATCACACATGGGCAACAAAACATGGGATTCAGGGGCCTCCCTGGTGGTGCAAGGGGTTAAGCACAGCACCAGGAAGCTATCCGCAGTCACTGCAGCACAAGTTCAATCCCCACCTGGCCAGGGAGCTACCCACATGGCATAGCAGACCTCTCCTGACTTGCCCACTGCTCCCCTCAGCAGTGTATTTCAGACTGTCTACCTGCTCTGTTCCCCACTCTGTCTCTGGTGAATCCTCTCACCCCCCACACACACACCTTTGGCCTATACCCCAGTTCTTGTATGCAGAAATAAATAAATCTTTAAAAAATAATAATAATTATTATCTGGTTTAGCAAGCAAATTTTTTTTCCCCTAGATTTATTTATTTATACAAGCACTGGGTACAGTCAGAAGCACGGGAGGGTGAGAGAATTCACCAGAGCCAGAGCTGGGAGCAGAGCAGAGCAGGCAGACGTATGAAGTACACTGCTGAGGGGAACAGCGGGCGGCAGGAGAGGTCTGCACGCCATGTGGGACCCTCGCGCGGTGGCCAGGGATCGAACTGGCGCTGCAGAGGCTGCAGGCAGCTTCGCAGCCCAGCGCTCAACCACTGCGCCACCGGGGAGGCCCAGCAAGCAAATTTTTTTCCTTCATAATATTTGCAGGGTCTATGACAAAAAATTAATATGCATAATATAAAAATAATTCTCACAAGTTAACAATAAATAAGATAAACCAGTGACATAAATTCTCGACAGAATCTTGAGTGAACCTACTTTAAAAAGAAAGATAACTATATTTTTTAAATTAGCAAAAGAAAAGAAGAAGTGTTTTAGAGAAAAAATATAACCTATAACATGAAAAAGATGCTTGATTTTAATAGTAGTTAAATTCAAATTATAGCAATGACTAGATGCCATTTTCAACCGATCAGTTAGGCAAAGATTAAAAAAAAGTTTGCTGGCCGCTGTTATTAGATGTGGGGATGGAAAAAGAACTTTAATCACTGTTAATGAGGGTATGAATTGTTATAACCTTCAAAAGAGGGTGCTTGACAACCTACATGAGAACCAGAAAATTCACTTACAGGAATTTTCCCTAAGGAAACAAATCCATGCCAATGGGCAATATCCCTAAGCATTGTTTATGGGACTCAGGATGTGGCTGCCAGGTGCCTTAAAATACTGAACAAGACCTGTAATAGTTTCCCTTACAACTGAATGACTCCACTTCCCTGGCCACCTCATTCCTTTCCTTTCCAGTCCCTAAGGTAGGTTAACCACTGATTCTCACCTGGACGAACCAAATATGCAATGTACAACTTACATGCTTTGGGGTTGGAAAGAGGGTGGGGAAAATCAAGCTGTAACTTTCTTTTTTTTAAGATTTATTAATTTATTTATGCATAGAAGAGCTGGGGTACAGGCCAGAGATGCAGGGTGGAGGGCGAGAGGATTCACCAGAGACAGAGTGGGGAACAGAACAGGCAGACTGACCGAAACACACTGCTGAGAGGAGCAGCGGGCAAGACAGGAGAGGTCTGCCTCACCATGTGGGTTGCTCCCTGGCCGGGAATTAAACTCGTGCTCCAGAGGCTGCAGATTGCTTCATAATGCAGTGCTTACCCCCTTGCGCCACCAGGGAGGCCCTGTAACTTTCTATCTTGATGAAAAATGTTCAATTGTATATTCTCACAGAATACATGGAATTATGGACTACATTTCACCATATATGTATGTGGTTTCACACATTAGATAGCTGTATTACAATTTGGTATTTTTCAACTCCCTCTAGAAATGGTCAGGGGATGTATCTATTTCTATAGGCACCTCCTATGGTGCTCACCCGAGGTTGTACAGATAGCATTAGCCTTGTACCTCAATCTTCCCATCATGTCCCAGACCCAATTCTTCCTCACTACTGCCAAAGTGAACCTTCCAAGAATCTTTTCATGATATTTCATCTCAGTATGATGGGCAAGATTCTTCACGCTTCTCTGCCTCTCCCCTATGCATACCAAACTATTATAATTCCCAAAGGAACATGCTCTTTTCACTCCCCTACACCTACACAAAACAACTACTATTCCCTCTGCCAGGAACTACCCAAGTCCCCACTTCTGGTCCTTCTGCTCACTTTTAAGTTCCACTATGTCCTCCATGCTGCTTTTGCCATCTCCTTCAGAACCCTAAGCAGCCCTTCCTCCCCCAACAAGGACACAGTATGCAGCACAGTCCTCTAGAGCACCTACTATCTGCACTGTCACTGTCACTGTGCACTGCCACTGTCATGCCCACTACTCATTCAGCTCCTAGAAGACAAAGCATAGTTTATATCCTGAACAACGCCTAGGACAAAACAGATTTTCAACAAATGCTTGTTGAAGAAATAAATTAAAAAAATTAAGAACTCTTAGAATACCTTAGAATATTTTAGCAAAAATAGCATCAGAAAAAATAAACACACAGGGGCCTCCCTGGTGGTACAGGGGTTAAAGTCTCAGGGTTATCAAGCTATCGCCAGCCACTATGGCATGAGTTCAATCCCCAGCCAGGGAGCTAACCAAGATGTCACAGGAGACCTCTCCTGTCTCGCCTGCTGCTCCCCTCAGCAGTGTATCTCAGTAGATATATTTGTTCTGTTCCCCAATCTGTCTCTGGTGAATCCTCTCACCCCCGCCCCCCGCACATCTCTGGCCTACCCTCCAGGTTTTGTATGCATAAATAAATAAAAATAAAAATAAACAAACACACAACTTCCTAAAATAACTTATTAAGAATAAAAGTATTCTCATATATACATTTTTTAAATGTGTCATATTATACTTACATTGAATGTTGTAGAGAAGTCGTGTTTTCAAAACACAAATGTTTCGGTGATATCATCTGTCAACTTAAAAAATATTTAAAATGTGTCATACTTAAGCACCTAATAGTCATGACTAATTAAGCCAGAAATTAACACCTCCCTCTTCCTGTTCTAGTCTGGGATAAAGATATAAATCAGAGGGCATGAAAATCTGATGACAGCTAGGAGTTGCTGTTTTAAAAAAGAAGAAAGTGTTATTGAACTCAAGGGATCTGTCACTTGGATGTGTCAGTCAATAGACCAGACAGAAGTTTTGTCAGAGGGGGCCTCTCTGGTGGTGCAAGGGTTTAAGACACAACCTATGGGGGCCTCCCCGGTGGCGCAGTGGTTGAGCGCTGGGTTGCGAAGCTGCCCGCGGCCTCTGCAGCGCCGGTTTGATCCCCGGCTGCTCCCCGGCCACCAGAGGAGGGTCCCACATGGTGCGCAGACCTCTCCTGCCGCCCGCTGCTCCCCTCAGCAGTGTACTTCGGTCCTTCTGCCTGCTCTGCTCCCCGCTCTGGCTCTGGTGAATTCTCTCACCCTCCCGCGCTTCTGACTGTACCCAGTGCATGTTTAAACAAAACAAACAAACAAACAAATAAATAAAAAAAAAACATGCCTCTATAAAAAAAAAAAAAAAAAAAGACACAACCTATGAAGCTAGCCACAGCCACTGCAGCATGAGTTCGATCCCCAGCCAGGGAGCAACCCACATGGCGCAGCAGACCTCTCCTGACTCACCCGCTGCTCCCCTCAGTAGTGTATTTCCATCGATCTGCCTGTTCTGTTCCCTCCTCCGTCTCTGGTGAATCCTCTCACCCCCCACACGTCTGGCCTGTACCCCAGTTCTTATATGCATAAATAAATACATCTTTTTAAAAAAAAAAAAAGTTTTGTCAAAGAAAGAGGAGTTTATTAGCTGTATAAGTAATGGAGACAAGGGATTAAGTCCTTAAAGACTGCCTCTGGGGAAAAGACTTGAAGGGGTATTTAACAGAAAGGAAAGCAAAAGGGAGACAATGGAGTTTAAACTAGGTGTTGGAGGTACTGGGCAATGCTGGCCATGTGAGCATGCTCAGAGGTAGTTCATGCTTCCACACTTATCACATGCTCATAAAATGGCAGCTCAACTCCTCCCTGAGACAAAAATTTTAGTGCATTGAGGCTGGTGTGAATTTTAGGTCATGAAAGGAAGTACTTCATACCTTGGGTTCTTCATACTCTGACAAGCTACTCGAACAAGAGAGGAGTGATTAGGATTTGGTTATCTAGACAGGCTGAAATATATGGTTTAGTTAGATATTGCTTTTGAGTAAATCAAGTGTCCTTACTGCCATGCTGTGAGCAGTAAGTGGCCTTAACCCTATGTTCTTATTATTCTGAGGTCCAAAGTTTGGCCACAAAAATGTCTGATTTACTGATATCATTCCAATACTTGATATACATCAAACCAACAAACTAGAAGATGCATACCTTCCCCTCTCTGGCTGCTTGTTAATTTCTCCTTCATCCTTCAGGTTAGCCCAGCTAAGAACTTCTTTAATGAACTTGCTTAGTGTGCAAGGCAGGTGCTATACCAGGTAAGATTCCTCAGGTCCTGAAGAGCACCCAGTCTGGTGTGAGAGACATCTCCTAAGTATAATTGCTCTGACGGTCATTTGGGGACCACAGGAGCCCAACGGAGGGAACTCCATTCAAGTAGGAGCACAACCCACTCCCCAAGGCAGCTCATTTATGTCGCTTTATTTCATCAGCAGACTTCCCTGGACTTTTATACATATGACTTCCACAAAACGTTTTTTTCCAAACGTGTTGATTCATCCAAAAAACCCTTTATGAAAAGAATTTAGCTGCCTTTGTCCAACATTATATCCTGGTACTTCCCATTCCAAGCAAGAGAACCTTGACATTTTCTGAGCATGATTTGTTCATTCTCAACTCAGCGCCTCTGTAAACGCTATACTCTACAAAACTTCTTTCTCAGGAATTCAATTTATTCTCCTCTGTAAGTCAGTGATTTTCATCCAAGGATGATTTTTGCATCCCATCCCACCCCAGGAATATCTGACAATATATGGAGACATTGATAAAACTGGAGGTTGCTATTAGCATCTAGTGGTTAGAAGCCAGAGATACTGCAAAATAGCTTACAATACACAGGGCAGCCCCACATACAAAGAATTATCCACTCCAAAAAGATCAGTAGTACCCAGATTAAAAAACTGATTTAAATTAACCTGTTTAGATTAGGAAATAATACCAAATTAACTATATCTGATTTTGATCATGACTTTGCCTTGCATTACCTCAGAATATTCACAGTACTCCCTCTATATTAATCTGGATGTGAGACTAAGAGTCAGAGTCTCAGTATCAACTATGTTCTTAAAGTCACATGATGCAAATATTTTCTAATTTTAGATTCCTTTTAGGTCTCAGTGTCACAATATC